TGTTTCATAAAAATATGAAACAACTAGCAATTAATAAAGACGACAGAACAAGCTATTAACTTTTCAATAATATGCAGCAAAATTGCCACTGAATAGGCACTTTTAATTGCAATTTAGAAAAAAAAAATTGCAGAATCTTTTTGCCTGCACTATTACAAAGATTAAGGAAAATTATTTTAACTTTTAGTTACAAGTGCTCATCTAAAACAGAAGAAAAGGCAATGCCATGAAAAATAAGCCGACAAAAATAAGCAAACTATGGTCCGACAACTTAAATTTTCCGGACTCGAAACCTAGATCTTTGTCGTCTCAACCATGTGCGTTAGATCTATGCTAAAAAGTAGAAGCAGTAACTTGATAATCTAAGAATTACACTGATGAATTCTGTGAACAACGATTTTGAAGGGAAAAGTCTAGTGCCAGTTTGCAATACCCTTGCTTAATTGCAAGGGTAATAATTAAGCCAAACTTTAGTTTTTTAAATATCGTTTCATTGTTTCAAGAAGAATCATATATGCGACCTTTCACTCGTGGTTCGGATTCTATAAAATTCAAGTTGTCTACGTTTCGAGAAAAAATGGTCCGAATTTTTAAGATTTATTGGCTAATGTTTATTCAGATTGGCAATTCAGGCTGAGTTTCAATATAAATTCAAATGTTTTATCTATTATTAACAGGTTCTTGTGACTCTTAGCCAATTCAGTCTCGTCTCACTAACAAAAAAGTTACAAAAGTTTGAGTGGACGGAACATTATGTGCTCCTTTGTACATTAGCCGACTAATGAGGTCCGTTTAAAATTTTAATTGTAAACACAGAAGCTAAGTTACTTATTGAAAACACAAGCGAAAAACGCTAGTGCGAATATAAAATCGAATAAGTTATTATCAGGGGAGGGACGCTCCAGTACTTACATCTCCATGTAATTAGTAACACTGCTCCACACGTCACTACATGGCAATCTAACTGCTCCTCGATGGGCGGGTGTGGGTGTTGCAGTATCTTGCATGCTCCTCAAGATTCCCATCCTGCTCCTACACTTCCGGAACAGACACTCCCATTTGAGAGAGGGCGACACGTCGAACTTACGATAGAGGCTGAAACGAAACACCAAATCATCTGCCGGAAAACTTCATCTTCATTTTTCTTTTTCACTGCTTCTGTTCTAAATACTGTTTGAATTCGTCTCTAAAGCTCGATGTAATAGTCAGTTTGTGAGAGCAGCGTACCTTCCACATGGCTTGGACTCGAAGCCTGCTTCGAGCTTTTTGAGCACTCCCTTTATCTTCAGCTCTGACCCACTCCAGGAACCATCGAACGAACCCTCCAGATAATCTCCATGGGGGAATGTCAAAATGCCCTAGAAAAACCGAAATTATCAAATGGTGAAGTATTGAATTTCTCCTGTAATACAGAGAATAAAATCTTTGCCCGATAATAGAAAAAAAACTTTTTTTAATGGAGCCAACCTGCTTTTTATATAAGCTTTGATCAAAGAAAAAACTTGGTCGAAAAGACCCAGGATATTATCTGCTATATCCAAGAAAAACATTAATTTCAATGCCTTCATTTTTTTAAAATCCAGCACGATTACTCTCACTTCGAGTCCGACTTTTAAATTGTACAGAGGATTCTGACCTTTCCACTGAGATTGTATCCATTCAATTCCCCTTCGTACATTGAGTCGTCATCAGCCAAGAGGAGACCAGTTCCCTAAAACAACAAGTTAGCTCTGTCAACAGTTTCCTATTAAGCAAAGTGCACCACTAAAAGGCTGCAAAATCTGAAATTTTGAATTCTTCTTTAGGATCTCCTCAGCTACGCATGCGCCATAGCGAACAAATAGTACTCGAGCAAACATTGCCTCTTGATAGTGCCGCAACTATTTCTTCCGCTTAATTTATTGTTGTCCGACCACTCTCGAAGAATGGGAAGAAACTTTGAATTCGGGTCGTTTCTGTTCAGCCAATTTGCCCGAACTATTTTTCCAGCCAATTTTCAGAGGAAAACTTTTTATGAGGTCAAGAGAAAAAATACTTTGTTCGTGGTGGTTTGAATTCTAAAAAATCAAAAAACATCTAGTGCCGAAAAGAATTGGCCTGAATATTTTCGATCTTCAGACTTAATAAGATGAAATTTGATGAAAGGCTTAACTCCCAAATTTAATTCTACCAATTTTAACACTATTAGGTTTCACGGTGAGCACTGATGGGAACTTTAGTAGATTTCACTAGATTTCGGTGCGCAATTGTCTCAGTGGGTAATTTTTTTTGCTCCACTGCGAACTATAAAAAACTGCAATTTTTGAAACAACTTTTTGCAAAAGGCATTCACAACTTTTTGCGCTTCGCACTTTTGTTATTCGAGAGCGTAAATTAACTTCCATTTAGCAAACGAACCTCAAGTGAGCTTAAAAAGAAGTCGAATGTGAAACCGCGAAGCAATAATATCGGGCGTGAATAAATTTCAACACTTTCCATCAGAAAAAAAAAGATGAAACAAAAAACGAACTACCTAAAAAGAGAAAATTCACATTATTCATTAAAACTTCATAAAAAACACATAATTGTTTCAATTTGAAAGCATTTATGTTTATTCTTTTTGATTTAGCCACGACTTTGAGCATATCAAAACATGACAACGAAGTTGAGCTTCAGAACAAGGATTAAGGGCTTCAATGTGATCACGACTGGTTTTTTCGAATCACGACTGATAACTTGATCTATCACTCGCCCATTTTGATAAATAGTTGTGAATCCTGTATTTGCGTGGAAAAAAGTAACAACTAAAACACACGCGAAGAAAAAGAACCTCCCCACTTTCAGTGATCGGAACAAAAACGAAATAGGGTAAGAATTAGTCTTTCTGATTGTACAAAAAAGTCGAAGAAAGCCGCCTTTAAAAGCTATCGCAAAACATAGATTAGGTTAGTTTCTCATTTAAAAACTTCAAATAAGGTTAATTATCAGCTCTTGTCTCAATTTGGGGCAGTACAACAGTGTCGAAGTACAACAGTGCCGAAAAAAAATAGTTAAACAGTGCCGAAAATGAAAACTTTGTTCAACAGTGCCGAAAATATGAACAAATTTCAACATATTAAGTGCGGCAATCAAAAATTAAACGGCGAACGTTTGCAATCTTAAGTGACACTTGAAGATTTTGAGAGAGAAAATTTGCAATTTAGACGTTTTGGCGCCACAATAATTGTTTAATTTGCAGTTGCAGACATTTTTGGCGCCGAAATTGGAGTGATTTTCTTTGATAATTAGCGCCAGTAATTTCCCGCTCTTTAGAAAATGCGTGTAAATTATTCTGAAGTTTTCCCCTTTTTCGGCACTGTCGAACGCCCCCCTTTCCCTCCCCCCCCCCCCCCTCAGTTTCAATAAGAGCAATTTGTAAGTTTGAATAGTTTCAAGTTGTGTTAAATTGCATTAATTTCATGTGCTTGACACAGTCAGCAAAATTTATAAGAAACAACTCAATTGTGCTACTCAAATTTACGGAAAACTTTTAATGTGAGACGACTCAAATTTGCAATTGTGCGAAAACTTTTCAATGTAAGACAACATTTCCTAACAGTTAATTTTCCGTGTTGGAATGTGCCTTCGTAGTAGAGTCCCTTCTGGGCACAGACGGTGAGTCCGTTTCCATGTCTGAGGTCATTCAGCCACAGTCCCACGTGCCTCTCCTGCGCACTGTCGTCCTCCAACACTCCATACCCATGTCTCTTGTCATCTATCCACTCCCCATAGAACAGACTGCAAAAAACGTCATTAAAATTACTTAAAATTATGTTAAAACAAATTTAAAGCATTTCTGAAATTTTGTTTTTATGGCAGAAAGATGCTCATCTTACAAATTTCATAAACGGAAGTTATATCATAAGCATTTTTTCAAAAACTTCGTTCATGGATTGTATGACAACACTCCATGGTTGTATGGAGGCCAACACGGGTAGACACAATTTAGATGCATCATATCATCATCGGCCATCAATAATTTGATTAAACCGCTAGATCTGGCATAAATTAAGAATAACATAGCCAACAGAGCGTGAAAAGCTTCCATGAACTGCTGATAACTTCAGATTTTTTTTTTCAAGTTCAGAGTTTCGTGAACAAATTGAACAAAAAAGATGTTTCAGCCTCGAGATACTTTTTGATGGACAGTTTCTCGATATACCTAATTCATTTTGAGAATATTGGATCATCAGGTTATTTTTATATTTCAATTAACTTATAAGAGCAGCAGAGAGCGTAATTTGCGAACCATTTGGTAAATGAACTGAATGAAAAGAAAAAAAAACGCCAACATTTAGAACTGAGCGTGAACAAATATGAAGAATTGCCTGAAAACTAAACAACACGATTTTAGAAAGCAAAAAATTATTATTATTTAACACTTAAATCAAGATATCCGCTAATATTTCCTATTTAATAGTAAGGTGTTCGTAAATAACGCACTTTGTATAAAATACCATCCAGAATTGTTTTTCTTCTAAGTTCGTCGTAAAAAATTATGCTTGATTCCAAAGCTCGCAACGCATGTTAAAACTAGAATTGAAGCCAATGCAAGTGCATGAGTAATACAAGTCGCCGAAAAAATACACCATAGATATAGTAAATCTTTAGCATAAATCAATAACTGCTCAGCTTCCAATAGATATCTAAGCACCACATGCAATCCTAACATCTATCTAAGTATACTACTAGTTTCAGGAGCAAAACATGAAATTTGCTGCATAACTCTAAGATGCAAAAATGTCTAGCAAACCAAACGCTCAATGAGGTGCAGCGCTAAAACTATTGAAATCCGCATAACTTTCCGTCGAAATTATTTCCAGAGCTTCGAAATATTTCACATTTTACAATATTTTGAATCTCCTTCAAATGTTGACCGCACTCTCACATACCGTGGAAACTCTCTTTTTTTGGGCATGAAATTCTGCAACTGCTCCGATTTTTCCATGGATTCCGAAAGGAGCGAGAGCTTAAAGGATTCTTCTAACTGGACGTCAGCCACCGAAGTAATCCTCCCATGTCCGGTCGCTTCTACCGCCGAGGTGCTAGTTGACCCATTAGGCTCCGTGAGCGTCGACAACCTCCTGTTTTCAAATACATCGGATTGTGTTAAGGAGCACTCTTCCGGGTATAACGACTGTTGGGAGAAAATCGAATTCTGTCTGTCGTATGAAACCGATTCATTCTGATGGTCCAACAACGAAAAAGTCGACGAGTATTGAGAGCGAACGTAGAATATGCTTTCGTTTATTGAAGCGGTGTCGTTTATTGAAGTGGTGTCTTTCGTGGAAGTTGTTTTGTTTAGGTTGTTCGTTGACAGAGGGCGTTGGGAGTGTGATGGGGGGAACACATTGGGGGGAATCATTTCAGTCATTGGCGAGGATTTGGTCGAGCTGTGGTATGATTGGCGCTGGGAAGAGGAGGAGACATTCAGTGCATTAAGCCGCATTGCATTGCTACGCTTTCTAAAACTAAACACAAAGTGCATTCTAACTAACGGCAACGCGACATCTCGCAACAAAAGACAACTTGCACGTGAATCAGTGATTGCCGCTAATCTAGATTGTAGTTAGAGGAATTTGATAAACCATTTATTTATGGTTGCAGTTGCAAGTTCTCTTTTTTGCGAGCTATCGTTTTATACTGACTAACAACCGTAATACTAGAGGACAACGATACAACTGAACATCATACTTTTCAAATTATACTACCCCCCTTCCCCAACAAAATAGACCAAGTAAATAGCCTCCTTCCTCACTTTTTAATCAGCAATGAAATTACTCAGCTCTGAGTATTACATATTCGATTCTCATTGGCTGAAAATTCCAACTCAAGATTAAGTTAAAACTCATCCCTTTGATACAATTTAGTGTCTATACAATTTGATATTCTAGCTATGCAAGGTATGATGTAAAGAACTAAAACCATGTCAATTTTTCACCATATCAAAATTGTTCTTTAAATTGCCAACTCGCTTTGCAACACAATTTTCAAACTAGGGAGGTGAAGTTGAGGTGGAAGGAAAAGAGGACCAAGCAAGCAAGACACGAAGTGAAACACCTACGCGAGCATCAACCCCAGGCCTACACGGTGTAATTGGAACGAACGAAAAGCAGAGTTTATGTCTCGCGACCATAACTATTTATTGTAGACCAAAATGTTTCGGCTTTTTGTTTTCCTCGTTCGGCTTTTTGTTTTCCTCGTTAAATCGTTATCAACACGGAGAGGATGCGGCGTTTCGAACAACCATAGTGCGCGTATGACACAGAAAAAAATAATTAAACTGTAACCTGTTGCCTTGCAAGTAGCACCTGATGTTCTACAATGCAAAAAAAATGAAAAATTTTGGCAAAAAAGACAGATCCACAGATTATTGTTCCCCGTTAAATCATATCAAACAACCGTTCAAAAATTTTTAGTGCAGAAACATTTATCGCTGAACTCACTCCTTTTACTAGTACAGAGCCAAAAATTCGTACCCAGTCTTCCTCAACTCTGACATATTTTGAACTTTTTTGGAATCCAAATGTTTCTCGGATAGTAATTTCGGGCAGAAACCCGAGACTGAAATTTTTTTATTTTTGTAAGAGATTTTTTTGTGAGCCGTAGTAAAACCAATTAATTAAAACTTTCTGTAAAGCACTTGTGTTATGACAATAACATGCTTTATGAATTAATTGATTTTCCAATTTTTTTTACCAGTAGTAAAAAACCCCATTTCGAAGTCCGATCTGACATGAAATGGCTATCGCAAAGCAAAACTTTGGACTGCTAGAGATGACTTTGAAAGCTTTTGGTGGCAAAAATTTGACAACCCGGTAAAACGCCGATGCCAAGTAAAAAAAAAGACAACTATCTATATTTTTGTCCACATCCTTCAATTTTGACTTGCGGTATCAAGTTTGGAATCGGAGGTAGAAATATGTCTTATCGGATTAAATTATATCGCGCGTTAATTGTCCCAAATTGATCAAAATGGCAATCTTTAAACCCCCATAACTTTAAAAAAAGTAATCACAAGTGAAATATCTTTTCAGATTCAAGCTCAGGATGACAAAATTTTTTGAATGTTATAGAAAATTGCATCAAAATTGCTTAGCTAAAAAGTCGAATTTTGTCTGAAGAACAAAGAAAAAAACCACCCCGAGCACAAATATTTCCTTACTTTCGTTTCTAAAGTCGGAACAAGACTGCTCGTATCAGGGTGAAGCCCTGAATGTTCCGACTGCCTTTTAAGATCTATTGAGCAGTAATAACATGAAAAAAGTAAATGTAATAAAAATAAAGTGAGTTTTTTTTAATTTGACATTTTTTGTGAAGATTATCACCCAAACGCAAAATAAAGTACAAAAGGATTTCTCCTAGTAACAAATCAATTATGACAAATAAGCTTCCTTTACCCAATTTGGAATTCTATGACGGCTTAAATCTCCGCTTATGCGTTAATAGCGCGAAATATATCGCACTTTAATTGTCCCAAATTGGCCAAAATGCAATCTTTAAACCCGCATAACTTTTCGAAAAAAGATCACAGGTGAAATATCTGTTCGAATTTAAGCTCAAGACATCAATACCTTTTGAATGAGATAAAAGAATTTTAAGGAAGCAAACGAAGAACAAATATATCATCCCAAGATTCGAAATCAGAACGGAATCCTTGCCAAAGCAGTTAAAAATCATATTTTAAACTTAGAAATGCAGGTCAATTGTGAATTCAAGTATACAAGCGAACAAAAAAGCGAAATAAAGAAATGACTTCACAGCGACCAAATAATGGCTGAAATGCGAACAGTGTTTATAGTTCATAACTTACCCCTCTTAGACACCAGCAAAAAGTTAACTACGCAGAGCACAACTCTCCTTCGCTTGCACTAATTAAAGGAGCAATTAGGAGGGAATATGAATAACGGGCCATTCTCGTGACAAGAACCGAATACGCCAAAGTTTTCAAAAATCAACGTCCTTTAAACTTTAAAAAAGTGACTCTTATTTCCACGATTAATCATTTCAGATTTTTGAATACTGAATTTTGGTTGGGTAGTATAATTTCGGGCATTAGGTGGAGGATTATACCATATAAAACATCTAGAATTTGACTACATTAATTGACTGTACAGAAAAACTATGAAATTTTTCTGTAAGCGGCTGTTTTTAATGAACCAGAGTAAAACCGTAACTTGGTTTCTAAACAGAGTTTTCAAAGCGCACATCTACTCCATGGACAAAACGTAATTCATACAAACAAGGTGCTTAAAGGTGTTTCTAAACTAAAAGCCGCTGTGTGCAAACAACTAAAACTACACTGATATCGAATATCTGAGGCCAGCTAAGTTCAAAAACAAATCGTTATTCAGAAGGTGGTTTTATATCAGAATGGAATTTGGATCATATTTTAATCAACTAACAATTATCTGTTATTCGATAGTAAAAAGCAGAAAAAAAAGAAGTTATGGATTAATGCTTTCAAAAATCATTGCAAATTATAGCAATAAACAATGAAAAATATATTGCGAAAAACCTTTTCAAAGTTATTTATCGCGGCTCATTTTTCTTACAGCTACCAGAGACCCTAAATTTGTGATTCCATCTGAAATTATATCAACTGAACAGCAAAGTTACATTTTTGTTAACGTCAAAATATTTGTATTTACTGAGGCGCTGCTTACCCGTGGTGGGTGCCGTCGGTCGGTGAGGCGATGCGAAGCAGCCCGAAGCCACAGCGCATGCTTTTCTCAAACTCACCCACGTATTGGTCTCCATTATGGTAACTGAAATAGAAAAAGAGATAATAAATTAAGTCAATAACTTTTTAAAATGTTTTATTATGTTTGTCCTCCATTTCGTAGATTCAAAATGATATGAATGACCTGACCATGCACTGTAGAAACAATACCAAAGGTGAAGGCAGTATCCAGAATTTTGACCAAAAACAGTTGTAGAAAAAAAATTAGCTTTTTTGCGCTCTCGATTTAGATGAAGCTCTTCAGAACATCGTGGATGTTGTCAGAAACTTTATCAACAGTCTTAGCTGCTTAAGCTCTAAGTTCGAAGGACTGAATGCTCGAAAATTTTGTCAGCCAATCAGAATTACTTGCTAATGATTTTGATACAAGTAAGCGATAAAATCAGTCAGTTTTAGACAGTTTAAAAGGCTTTTGATTTGATGACTTTTCGCTCATTGGGTCCTTTCGCATGAGAAGCCCCCTCAACCCCCGTTAGAAAACGGCTCTGCTTCAGAGCGGCGCCTAATCTTCTACTCACTTGAGCACTCCGAACCCGTGCATGAATCCATTGGCCCACTGTCCCACGTAGCTCTGTTCGAACAGTGGTGCCGAAGAGGAAGAAGAGGACGCATTGGCCTCACTGCCCTGAGGAGGGGAGTGGACTATGAGTCGTCCTTGACCATGTTGCAAACCTTCGTGGAAGTCCCCAATGTATGTTTTTCCGTCCGGCCACACCAACATGCCTCTATACAAATGCAGATCAAATTATCGCTCTTCTACCAAAACCGCGGGATTCGTTACAAGGCACAAGATTCGCATACCTTTAACCCCTGAATTACGTAGGCTGTCCTCCTATGACACAATTACATTGCATGATCGCAATGAAAATTTCCACGCATGTTAATTGTTTAGTTTTGAACCTATTTGGCACCAATGTATAACATTGCTTGAAAACCAATGTTTCATGCCCAAAGCGCATCACTGTAGGGGGTGGAGGACGACAGAAGTCGATAATAGTCACTTCACGGGGAGATTCGTTAGTAGGCACAAAACTCGTATACCTTTAACCCCTGAATTACGTAGGTAGTCCTCCTATGGCACCCTAGTAACGAATAATCAACCCTATAAGAACAGAACCAATGGTTAAGCATAGGTGAATTTTGTACCTAGTAACGAATATACCCGCTGATGATCAAATAGAGTGTCCCATCATTCAACAAATTGCTTTTTTTACTTGTCATGTGGTTTAGCGTTGAGCCAAGTGCCCTTATAGGTTGCGCCTTTGAACTTGGCATGTGCGGCAGAGAAAGTGTGAACAGCCTCTCTCTCGCGTGATGGCATGCACATGGACACTGTCTCGTTCAGTTGTGCCTCACAGGCGATATTCGGCACCGATCCAGGGTGAAGTGCCCGCTCTATGGCCTTCGTCAAGTCCAGACACCAGTCTGCCTGAAACGAAACCAGCATCCACAAATATGGATTTAGTGGCGGTGGTGATAAAACAAAAGACAACCTATTATGTTCTGAATATGAATTGGATCTCTTAGATGAATATAAGTTGAAGTTTCCTTGAATTATGTCTTTAATGCATTTTAGAGAGCTCGAGGCTCAACGGCGCAAACTAGGCGCTCAGGTGTAGTGTCATTTTAAAGCCCTATTCGTCGTGATTTGGATTCCATTTTTTGTTTCATCATCATCATCATCATCACAAATATTAATTTAACAGCAATTTCTTGTATTCAAAGCTGTTTGCATTTCAATCCTATTAAAACTACAGTCCGTTTTACACAAGTCGTCAGTCGTTCCCGCTCTAAAATGAGCTAGAATTAAAAGGACTCATCAAAGAACTCTTTCGCTAGCTCGCGCACACCCTTCGCAGTAGGATGAAGTCCGTCGGCGCAAACTTGCTTCCGGTAACGAAACTTAACGGTTCTAAAGAACAAGATCCAATGCCATCTTGCCAGATTCCGGAAGCAATTGTTGACTCTCCAAATTAGCGAACTTTCACAATCACGACTGATAAGGGACATAACACCAATTTTAAAAAACTAATCTTGTAGTTTTAAAACCGCCTGTTCCATCTTCGCTGCTACCTTAAAATCGCGCAAGATCTAGAGTAGGACGGTTTGCACCCGCAAACGGTGACCAACGCCGTGACTCCAAAAAAGGGACCTACTTCAGTCACCCCAAAAAGGAACCGTCACAAGTGTTCTAGGAAAACCTTAGGATAAAAAAAAACTGGATTTGTATAAATTCCAGTTAAATCAAAAATCAGGTCAGACAAAAATTATCAATTATGGCAGAAAACTGGAGGTCTTTAAGGAGAGCCTGAGCGTCTTTTTCGTCTTGTAGTTTGATTTTTTTCTGCTTGACCTCTTGAAGCTGCGACCCCATAAAAGCGATATCTTTGCCACCCTCGCCTATCTTCGCATTCAACTGCTTTGGAGTGTACCTTTTGAAGACGAGAAGCTCCTCTCGGAGTTGCTCAGCATGTTCTCATTTTCTCCGTTTCATCGCTGCGTTTTGTGACACAATTTCTTTGTAGGAAGAAGCAGCTACTTTTACGAGATCGAGCAGGTGTCGCTGAAATTTTTGTTGTTCGTTGTTAAAACAGCCGAAGACTTCCTGTACTACACGAATGGAAACGCAAGTTTCCAAATTGAAATTGTTTTGCGACACCGTTTCAGCGGATTTCATTGTTGAGAAGCCGGACTCAAAATTCATATAGTGAGGACATATCAAAAGTGTAAATTCATGCAGCTGCGCAATTGTCGGTCATCGCGTAGAGTATCCTGTTTTGACGAATCTTGAAGGCTTGTAGAACTTCTTCCTTCGACTCAAAGATGTTTTGCGCGCCCATAAGTTTCGGTTCGTCTATCGACCACATGCCCAAAGATGTCATGAAAGAATCTAAATCAAAATTCACATCGGCTCAGTTGACTTTAGGCATCGGTTGCAACGTTCACTGTCTTTATAATAAACCAACCAACGTCTACTTTTTCCATTATAAGAAGTTTCGTCAACATGAATACCCACAAACAGGCCACTTAGCTCCGTCATTGAAACATCTCTGCAGTATATCGCAAGGTCTTCAGTAGTCAGATACGTCGCTTTAGTCCGACCACAGTTTACGGCTGTGTAATGTGAATCGGGAAACAAATGCTCGTATTTAGACCTCTCCGCTCCAGTTGCCGCAGAGTCACTGGAGCGGAAGGAGTGGTTGTTGAGGACGATATCTAGGATGAAAAATCAAGACCTGACGGCGTATTTCGTCGCGGTCGGTTTGATGTCGAATGACGCCTGAGATCGTTGGCTGTGAAACAATCGCTGCTAAGGCCCTGCTGTGTTAACTCTTTCTCCTCGTGCTCTTGAAGGTAATTGAGGCCACCGCTCACCGTAGTAACTTTGCCATCACATCGACATTTTACGTGAGTCTCATCCATGCCGCGTGCCCAGGGAAAGGCGGTGAGAAATTCAGGGCTGACTTAACATTTACCCAAGTTCTATCTGAAAACACGCGAGCAAATTTAAAAAAGGAATCAGGAGTCCAAAAAAGTACCGGTCCCTTCAAAGGAACCAATTGGTTGTTGTTGTTGTTGTTAGCCCACGCGGGTCGGGTTGGGCTCTTCTGTCTCCAGGTCAAGGAACTTAGCAACCTCTACCGGCCGAAGCCACAGGTCTGCTGGGGTGAGTGGGGAGGGGTTTTGGGAGCAGTTGAAAAGGTGACATGTTGTGTGGGGGGCAAGGGAACAGGTTGGGCAAAGGTGGGAGATGGAGCTGTCGAGGCGGGATAGGTAAGTGTTAAGGAGCCGGCTGTAGCCAGACCGGAGTTGGGAGAGCTTACAGCGCGTGTGACGTGGGAGAGATTTTTCAGAGGGGTCAATCTTTGGGGGAGGGATACAAATAACTTTAGACGGAGGGGTTTCGGCTAGGAACTTGGTTACAAGGGAGTTATGGTTGTCTTTTAAAATTGGTTTGTAGTAGTTAAAAATAAAAGTGGAGACTTCGTCTCGGTCGTCCAGAACTAGAGGGTGGTTTGCGTAGACTGAAAAGTCGGTTAAAATTTTCTGGGTGTCTTCTTTGAAGCAGCTTATAATTGAGGGGCGAAGTAGACGGGGAGGAGGGGGATGTGAATGTATAAAATTAATGGGATGGTGGGAACGATAGGTAGAGATAAAAAATTGAGATGACAGAAGGGTATGGTGGTCTTTGACCGTTAGGATTTCAGATTCACTGTGCAGGTGGGCAGTGGAACTCATTAGATTTGATCCAGTAACAACGCGAAGGGATTGGTTTTGGGCAACCTGCAGGCAATTTATGGAGGTGTTACTTGATGCGTGGGACCATGCGGGGGCTGCATAGTCAAGTATGGGGCGAATTAAAGCTTTAAAAGTTAGGAGGAGGGTTTCTTTGGAGTGACCCCAGGTTGATCCTGCTAATGCCTTCAGGATTCCGATCCTGCGTCTGGCCTTTTCAGCGGATTGTTTGCAGTGAGTGGCAAAACAAAGTGTTGGATCAAATGTCACCCCTAAGATTGTTGGATTTTTGTTTAGGGGTAGCGCCTCATTATTTAAAAGAACACTAGGTGTTTTATTAAATAATGTACCGGTGTTACATTATTTAATAAAACACCTAGTGTTCTTTTAAATAATGAGGCGCTTTCAACCAATCAATTGATGCAGAATAAGGACAAGCATCAATTGGTCACCCTGCACCTGCATCTTCTTAAGATAGCTGAGATCTTCATAGCAGCAGAGGATTGCGAGTGTTCCGCCACGACAAAACGATGTTACGGGTTTTCGTAAGAAAAATTCCGTATACCAGGGACGATCCCAGCACAGCAAACTCAATTCCGCCATCAATGTTGTTCAATATGATGCGTCGTTCGTGACGGAATCTGGTTTCTACTAGAACATTTTGAATTTAGCTGTGCCAGCTTAGATGGAATCACACCCTGCATTCGTTTGACTAGCTTCGTGGTTTTTCTTCAAAAACATTAGCTCCTCTTGTACTTCTTGAGCAATCGTTTTTATTGAGCACAGTTCTCGGCGCAGATCCTCTCAATAATAGGAAAAAGGTTTCTTTTACAAAGAAGTTTCTCCGCAATCAGAGCAACCCAATTCAAAATGTCCAACTTGTGTTTGGTCCATATTTAAACCAATGCAGGCGGAAAGAGCAGACGTTTCACAATTTAAGAATTCAACCGAGAGATTTGTGGCATCCCTTCCACAGAGCATATACAACTGCTTCGACACGATGTATTCTTATTCTGTGTACATTTTAAAATGAGCTGGATTTCGAAAGTGAGGTTGTAGTTTCTGTCAATCCGGACCACTCTGAAATGAGCTGGTTTAATTTCTGATCATCTTTTTCTAATAAATAAGGACAAGCATCAACCGGATCATTGAAATCCCTTCGTAGGCAAGGGCTACCAAAGACGAAAAACTCTCCGGTTCGTCGAGACATAACGTATCTATTTAATAAGTTTCTCACAACAATTAGGTTATCGAGAAAAATAAGCCAGAATATTTATGCCATTCACACGCAAATTTTGAGAAGAGTAGATCAAACTGAATCTTCACAAAATATTTTCCAATTTTTACATTTTAAATGATTCATTAATACCATCATTAAGCCTATTACAAATTGCATGCTGGGTCAATTGCCCAATCTCTAACAAACGAGGACAACCAAAACACGTCATTCATGCAGACAAGGAGCATAAAGGTTTTTGTGAGTACCGACCTTTTACCAGAACGACCTTTTACCAGAAAAGTTACAACATGGACCTTTTACCTGACTCGATAAACAAATTTGATTCACATATGTAATGACGCCGTTTAAACTGGTTGGAGACAATGATTTCACGGGGAGGGTTCTCATGCTGGAAGGACCGATTGGTTGAAAAATTTCAACCAATCAAAATCGCTATGCGTTCCTATTAGCTTCACGGTTTCCTATGATTTCACGGTTTCTCAGCAAAATTTTGTTCTAACCGCTTGCTTTTCGCATTGAATTATTGCATTGTGGTCTGGTGAAAAGTCGGTCTGGTAAAAGGTCGGTCTGGTAAAAGACCTAGCCCCGGTTTTTGTTAAGCGGACTAAACGGCGTCATTACATATGTCAATCAAATTTGCTTATCGAGTCTGGTAAAAGGTCCATGTTATAACTTTTCTGGTAAAAGGTCGGTAAATCAACCGCCCCTCTCATTTTCTATTTCCTCAAAAGTCTTTCATAATAATCCAACAAACGCGGAGAACCAAAAATCACATTTTACATTTAACTATTAGGAATAAAGGGAATCTGTGGAGTCTTTTGGCGTAAATGAGCAACACTCCCCAAACAATGCAAAATGAAAAAATACAAAAATTTAATCAAAATTAGACCGATATTACTACAAAACACAAGCGGATCTACTTAACAATCCCCCCCCCCCCCTATGATACCTAC